CTGATTCTTCAGCTTCTCTGTTAGCTGAGTGACCTACAAGGGAAACAAGATGTTAATTAGAAGAAATAAAAGAAACCCTAACATTCAAATGTTATCATAATTTTATGATCCAAACTTGATATTAACTCTTGGAAGGTTCTCTTTCTGGACTTCATGACCACTTGACAAAAGTTCCTGCTCTGTTTTGACACGAAGTTCATAGCTAGCAGGCACAATCATTGTCATACCATACTAGCATGTATGCACCTTTTTACTGATAGCCCGCTAGAAATTCCTTAACTGAGAAGCCAGTGGAAAGTGGATGATGCTAATTTATACTAAAATGATAAAACATAGAGGTGACATCTACTGTGACTTGAGTTTCACTGAAAGGAGTCTCACACTTATGGCATGGGATTCACTCTCTCTCACATCCGAAAAAATACGGGATGTTTTCCCTTTAACACTACATATTTCTTCACAAAATGATATGGACCCATATCTTGGTCCATACATAAGTTGCATCCCTATTACAGGAAAGCCTCAATGCTTACTTCTATAAGAACAGGAGGAGAGAACACTCACCAAATAAGACACAAAACCTGTCAAATTTATGAGGTATTCAAAATGCAATACTGTAAGAAACAGCAAAGTACAGTGAGGGCTGAAGTTGCAGACAGATGGGAACAAAGGACACTGCTGTTATATAAGACATCACAAGATAGAGGGGGTTTTTATGTATTGGAATTACTTGCATTTCTTACCTGTTCTTGCAACATATGATTTTTTTCTTGCAGCTGGTTAAGAACTGCAGTTTCGCCTTCACCAGCTTGAATTTTTGCATACAGGTCCTCTCTTTCCTTTTCTAGCAGGGAGATGTTCTCTTTACTCTTTTGCAGCAAGGCCTCAAGGTTTTGAATTTTTTGGTCCTTATCTCCAATCTGACGTAATACTTGCTCCAAATCATTCTAGCAAAACACATATTAGCTTCCTTAATTTACAGAGACCTTCAAAGTTATTCCTAATGCATAAGATGTTAACTATCAAATTCTATAAATAGCTATTGCATACTCTGTTTTAGAAAAGGAAATATGTGAGATTACAAAATCATGCGTCATAACAGATCAGCAATATTAAGTACAACAGTGTACTGGTTCTAGGAGAGGTATAGTGTTTATTTTACCTGGGCTTCTCGCAGTTTTGCTGTAGTATTTTGCTGAAGAGTCTGTTGCTCCTGATGTTGCTGCTTGGCTTTATCTAACTGATGCTGCAATTCGGTGAAATTTGCTGCTTTTTCCTTTAGCTTAAAAAAATAAAAATGTCAAGCTCTGGAGTGAACACTGATAGGCACAATTCGGTATTTCCCATAATAATAAAAGACTGTACATTAAACACCTATTTCCCCAACAGATTTAAAGTATGAATCTGCCATGCCATTTCTAGAACAAAGAATCAAAATTGAAGTTTTTGTCACTACTGGCGATAGGAATATTTCATAGAATGAAAGCCATGCCAGGTAATAGATGTGTTATTTTACATCGTGGTATCCAACTATGCTGAGTGAAATTTGCAGCAAAGGTACGAATTTACATCACTAGCAGATTTAGTAGTAATGTCATCAATGTTTATTTTAATACACTTTCCAAAGCTAAGTACTAACTAGTATTAGTCATATGATTCCTATTAAAGTCAACAACTTACTACTGAACTAGCATAAAACTCTGAAAAATTTCAACTTTTACAGGCAAGTCTGTGTATAGTAGTGAGTGTGCATGTACCTATAGATAGATAGATAGATATAGGTTCTTACTGAAAAAATGGATACATAATTGATTATTAAAATGACTGCTTTCTACCTCTACACATACCACTCATATCTTGTTATGCCACACCTGCTATTTCTTCTACTTGGACTTGAACTCCCAAAAATATCACCACAAACACAGCTCTCCTCTAACACAGAGTAAAGGGCTCTGTAAATACATGTTGATCTTTTGGCATGATCAGATCCCTCAGACAAGGGGACAAAGGACCCGACATACTAAATAGGTAAAAAATAAATCATTTTATCATTTTAGCTTTCTAAAACTCAAATTGTCAGTCAGACAATTCTGCCTAAAAGGCAGGCAGATTTTTACATGGCAATTTTATTTTATAAAATACAATTACATTTTAACAAAGTTATTTAATGAAGCTCTCAGATAGACATAAGCTAAAAATGCCAACACTACTAAAAGCAGGTAGCAAATGTAATACACAGCCCAATGTCAGACTACATATGAAATTACATCCTGTGCATAACCCCTACCTGTTCTTCAGCACGGGATAGTTTTAACTGCAGATCAGCCACCTGCTGTTCTTTATCCATCAGTTTTTCACTAGACAACTGTCTCTGTTCTTTAAGCCTACCATGTGCTTCGCCTAGCTGGCGCTCTGTTTCCAGAAGTTTATTGTGCAACTGCAGGGGAGAAGAAAGTACTGTCTTAACTTCTTCAACCATTATACTGAATTTAAGACTTAACTACACATAATATAGTACTTTTCCTCTTTTTTATTATATAAGAACAGTACTAATAAAACAACAAAAACATTCTGCAAGTATGTAACAGAGTCTACCTGACATGGACTATATCATTCAACTACACATGCAGAAAAAGACTCAAAAAGGAAGGGCCTTCTAGTGGGAAGAAAGGTGATCCAAAAGGATCACTACTGCTTTCATTAAGTCCCTCCAAGTGAGCTCTGTCAGTTTAAGGGAACAGAACTAGGATTAAAGCATCATCTTCTCCTCCATGCATAGAAAACAGCCAAGTAGTGATGGGTGCACCAGGAAAGAACATCCCTATTTCTCTCTTCTCCAGTGACCACGACCCAAGTCCTAAAATGCTCCACTGGCTTCAGCAACAGTGTTTCAGCCAGCCCAAGCTGAGGTTTCAGCTCACCCTGAGTGCACTGGCATTCCTCAGGTGAAGGAGAGACAGACGTATGAACTCTCTCAATGTGATGTGCAGAATCTTCTAAACTGGTCTGTGTCCATAACTAACATTCCAGAACCTCGCCAAGGAACTGTAGCCCGCTCTCCAGCCAGGCTGAGGTTAGGAAGCTCCCCAGGAGTGTACACAAGTAGGAATGTGTCGCTCTCTAAATGAGCTGTTGGGTTTTTGTTTTGCTGGGTTTATTTACAGTTTTTTTGCTCAGCCCTCCCACCCAGAAGTCAGTTTTAAAGAAGGCCCATGCCATACCCTGTCCTCCCACCCCACCCCCCAAATTTGTAGTTTTCATTTTGTAGGTGTTCAGTTACTTCCTAACAATCCCTACATAACAAAACCCCTACCAGTGGAGGTATGCACAGAACTACTGTAGGGTCAGTAGAGGCATCAGAACTAATGAAATACTCTCTGTAAATCTCTGAAAGCAAAACACTGAGTGGATCAGACCCCTATGAGGATCTGCAGTTAAGTTACCCCCAACACTATAAACCACCTAAGACTTAAAAACCATTCTGGATGTGGGTGAAACAGTAACTGCATCATGGTAATACAAGCGGTGTTCGCTTGTACACTTTTGGAGGGTTCTATATCAATTGCTAATATTAGCGTATCTACTTAAATCCAAGACTAGTGCCAAATGGAGAAAAGAGGCCACTCATCTTGGATTTGAGTACAAAGTTGAAGGGGTGGCTGCTATGGCTGAGATTCCAGCCCTGAGCCTGGGCTGGGGCTGCTTAGATGCACAGAACCCACCTGGCCTTCCCTCCTACCGTCCTACCCCTTACTGTCAGGCTTGGTTCTGGTTCCATTCCCTCATGGACACAGAGCACATGGAAACTCCATTCCCTGCTTGGGCAATCAGCCACGGCGCTACTCCAGCCCTGGGCTACTGCTGCATGACCAGGCAAGGAATGGATCTTGAGTCACATCTAACAGTAAGGGGGTGGAGGGAAGAAAAGAGTACAAGGGGGCCACCTGACTACCTGTTGCTGCTTTCCCCAGAGTAGCAGGCGGGGGAAGGGAGAGGGGACAAGAGGGGGGAAGACAACCCTCTGATAACTACACTCTACACCTAAAAAATTATAACAAATTCACTAATTTTCCATATACAGAATATAATTATTGAAGGGTCATCTTAAAGTTGGAGTCATCTTGGATTCAGGTAAATATGTTCATTTCTAAAAACGATGCAGGAGTTGAGTAAATGCATGGTGGTTTACAGCAAAAGCAAACTACTGATGTGAGGAAAATATCAACAGTATAAAAAGCTTCTGGAAAAACATAATCAATAATAATATAGTAACATTTCACAAAAGTGTCACGTATTACCAGTATACTTGCACAGCATTTATAAAACAGATCAAAACATCAATAAATGTTATAAACAGATTATTGGCATTTGTAGTACGTAGTCTAGATTATAACAAGCCATGGTTGCTTGACCTACTGAACTCCAACAATCTATAGCAAATGATAACATTAACTATGCCTTTTGTAAATAGTTTTGGATAAACAGGTGAAGTCTGACCAAAATATTCCTCCTCAAGGAGGCTGCTAAACAAAATCCATGTTACAGCAAGTTCTACTTTACCATCATAGCAACCAATGAGTTTGTAGAACCAAGAGCCAGAACACATAGCCAAAAAGAAAACTTTTAAAAGCAATCAACTTCTGTGATGAGAAGAAATTTATAGGGTTTTTTGTTCACGCAACGAACTTCAAGCCAATGGAACTACACAGTTCAAGACACTGGCATAAACAGAAACATACAAAATATAACCAATGTTAATTATAAGGAAAAAATATGGAGGTTAAAAGGTATGACATAAGTAAGTTAAACTGCATGATGAAGAATATTTGCCAGCAAATATCCCCTAAGTACACAAAGGGCTACATTCCTCTTTAACCCCTCTGCCTTCCCTCCCCCCATCAATTGTCTTTTTTTATGTTGACACCTGAATTTTGAACACCCTGATAATCCCTGCATTCAAAAGACATGCTGCTGTCTTTGGAGCTATATAAGATATTAAATTTGTAGAACCTTTCAACATATCAACTTCCTAATAAGGTAAACACTGACACTTAATATACAACAATTTTAAAATCGAACTGTTATCTGTAGAAACGAACATTATCTTTTTTCCATCTTTTCCATCTTCTGTTTTCTTGCCAAAACCATGATTTTAGTTGAGGCTGACCTCACTACATCATTTCTATATCTCACTAGAGAGAGCAACATATATTTCTAATGTTCAAAACACATTAAATTAATGTATAACATTCCTGTATTTTGTAACTAGTGTACAGGTCTCCAGAAAACTGAACTCCTGCAATGACAATCCCCAATTTCAGAGTAAAAATCAAATCAGAGTAAGAGGAAAATAGAAAAACAATGATAAACCTACTTCTAGCATTCCAAACTACATGCTAAGCAAACTATATGAAAATAGAGAAATATTTCCTAATGTACAAAAAGAGCAAAAAAAAAATATATTTATACAGGAAAAACTAGGAATGCCTTGTCATTGTATACTGAATAATACTCTCTCAATTCACCCCAAAGCCCTTCTTCCATTACATCTAAATAAGAGAACCTCAGCAATTCCCCTTCAGGGGGCAGATTTTCTGGGTTAATTTATATTCCCTTTTTATGCTATCATTTAAGGATGTATGAATTATAGAGGTGTACAGATACATTGGTCCAATATCAGATTGGTACCGATATAAAGAAAATTTGCTGTATCGGATATTGACCAGATGGGGTGATAATTTGGCTGATAAATGCTGGTGCTGCGTGCAGGTACAGTGCAGCACTCAGGCACTGAGGAGCACAGCCAGCAGCGTGGAGAGCTGCCTCCAGCTAGTCAGTCCATTGCGGGGGGGGAGGAGGGTGGAAGGGGCAGAGGCTAGGGATGGTCAATTATAAGACATTTATAAATTTTCCACGTATAGAATATAATTATGGGGGGTCATCTTAAATTCAGAATCATCTTGGATTTTAGTAAATAAGGTCTATCAGGAGGATGAGAAGGCAGCTGTAGAGAGAGGAATAAATTAGCATACTG